CTAAAGCCCAGACCTCCTTCCTACTTTGGTTTGCAGACTATATCCCAGCTAATTAAGTGGCACTTCCTACTCTCTAAAGAACCCTAAATGAATCTTTTGCAAATATTATCAATATCCTTACAGACAAATTTAGGAAGAATCATAGATTGTATAAAATAGTCAGGGATGTTCATGATACAAGATTGGGTAAGGAATACTCTCCTTGTCATAGATAAAGATTGCATTTTTCAACCAGAAAGCTTTCTCCTTATTTTTTTCCACTATAAAGGAGCAACTCTGTCTAGAGGAGCTGAGATGACTAATAGGAACTCCTAGATAATTACCCACCCTAGGAGCATACTTAAAACCTAGATAAGAACTAATTTCCTGAAACATAGAAGGATCACAATTTTTTTAGAAACAGACAGCAGAATTTTCATTATTAATTGAAAGTCCAAAGACAGAACATAATTCACTAAGGACCTAGCTAATCACCTCAGCATTAGACCTATTAGATTTAACAACTAAGATTATGTCATCAGCAAAGAAAATGTGGGATATCTTAGGACCTTGATTGCTAAAAGAGAAAGGAACCCAGCTTCCTTCAGATACTTTATCTTGGATGATGTGAGCTAACCTTTCTAGGCATAGAACAAAAGATAGGGAGATATAGGATCGCCTTGCCTAATACCTCTACAAGGCTTAAATTCTTTAGTTCTACTATTATTCCAATTAATGGTCATTGTAGAAGTAGAAATACACTAATAGATGAGCTCAGACAACTCATGACTGAGACCTATTTTATGGATTGTCTCCTTTATAAAACTCCATCTAAGCTTATCATACGCTTTTTCAAGAATGAGCATAAAACCATTCCTACTCTTCATTTCGCTAAAAGAGTGCACTAGTTCTTGAAGAATTATAATATTATCAGTCCCCTGTCTACCTTTTATAAAGCTTGTCTGGTTGGGTGAGACTAAACCAAGCATAACCCCCCTAATTCTATTAGTCAACACCTTAGGAATAAGAGTAATGGAAGTACAGTTAACAGCAGAAATGTTAGAAGGGTTCTTAAAGATATTAGTAACAAAATTAAAAATAAAAGGACCTAAGAAACTCCATTGATTTTTGAAGAAAAGGGCATAAATCTCATATGGACCAGGAACTTTAAAATTGTCTATACTAAATAATGCAGACTTGACTTCTTCTAAAGTTGGTTAGAATTTAAGGAATCAAGTTCAGTGTTCTCAAGAGTTGGAAAAGTAGAAGTAGTGACTAGAGGAGCCCCTATGGGATAGTTATCAGAATAAAGGTTTTTTAAAAAAATCACAGCCTGAGATTTAAGTTTAATTGGATCATACTCCTAGTTCTTCAAATAATCTCTAAGAGCCTCAATAAGGTTATTCTTCCTACGGATTAAGACAGATTTGTGAAAAAATCTATTATTCCTATCCCCTAATTATAGCTAGTTGGATCTATAATAATGAAACCAGTACAACTCTTCCTGATTTATAATATTTTGGTATTCTGTCCATAAAGAATTTACGAGGTTACTAAGAAAGAGATTATCTTCTAGGCCAATTTTACAAGAAATGCCCCTAATTCTATGATGGGTACTAATAAGTACATGATTCACCTTTATGTTAGGATAGGTAACTGGGATTGGATTCTTTCCTCCATTTATGTTAGCCCCCACGAGGGGCTGAGAGCTGAATGCTTATATCTGTCAAAAGATTCTAGTGTAACTGTGACTAGACCTTGGTGTGTAGCTAGAGATTTTAATATGAAAGTGAAAAAGCTGGGGGTAAAAATCCAAATATGAGCTTCATCTAGCAATTTGCTAATTGTTTGGAGGACTGCGACTTGCAAGACTTAGGCTTTAAAAGACGCCTTTTTACTTGGCAAAAAGGCCAGATTAGGGAGAGACTACATAGAGTAGTGGTGAATAATTCTTGGAGTATGATGTTTCATAATAATTCTCTGATCCATCTCCCCTTCTTAAATCTGACCACCATGGTCTTTCACTAAAAATTAAGAATAAATATAGAGTTGATTCTTATAATCAAAATTTTAAATTTATGTTAGGATGGGTACTAATAAGGTTTTTTGATTTTTGTATAAAATTTAAAAATAATATACAGTAAAATATAAGTTTTTAAGAAAAAAAACTACAGAAATATAAAATTCAAAAATTGGCAATTTTAGTATAATTGACGATTTTTTTAAAAAATTATTAAAAATTTTAAAAAATCATATATTAATTTTAAAAAATAAAAAAAAATTAATTAAAAAATTATCAATGCCAATTTTTTTGATATTTTTTTATATTTTTTCAAAAAATCATATTTTAGTATTTAAAATATTTTTTCATATAAAGAAGCCTAATAATAATCATTAAAAACTATTTATTAATTTTTTATAATAGTTAAATATTTTTCAATATATATATATATAAGAGAGAATATTAATTTACTCCAAAAATAATTTGAATAAAATTTATTCTACTTAATTTTTTAATAGATTAAATAAGCTAAAAATCCTATAACTTAAATATTAATTAACAATTTATCAATTAAATTTATTTTAACATTTAATATAAAATTTTAAATATTAATTATCAATTCACATTTTTATATATATTTAATTTTTAAAAAATTTGATATACATATCAAAATAAATATATAACTTCATTTAATAATTATAAAAAAAGTTACGATGTGTGTACAACTTGAGTCTTAAGTTTTTGTTTTATAATTTTAAATTTATTTTTAAAATTAATTATTTTTATTTATAATTTATAAAATTCATATAAAGTATAATATATTTGTTTATTGGTGATTAATTTTTGCTCATTAACTGATAAATCTGGCTCCCCTACAGTGATTGTATAAAGTAAAAAAATAAAAAAAAGCATTTACCCTTAATTTAGGCTTAATTTGAATTAACTTTAAATTTACGGGAGCTTTTTATCAAGAAAATCTTTTTATTTTCAACGAAAGAATATTTATAAATTTATTAAGTATTTTTTGAAGAAGTTAGACGATGGAAGTTTTAAAATTATTAAAAAATATATCAAAATTAACTTTAATAATGGATTGAGCTTATGAAAAAATTTTAATTTAAAATTAAATATTATATAATTTTATTTTCTTTACAAGCTTTTTTACTTTAAAGAAATGAAATCTTCAAATTTAAAATATATTCAAAATAAAATAATCGTTGACACCATGGTGTCGTTGGATTCATATAAATATAATTACTTGAAAAGAAAAACTTAACTAAGATATGCAGACCAAGATTTAATCAAATCACAATCATTAATCATTAGATTAGATTAATAGATAATAATAATAATAAGTGTTTATTATTAAGAATAGAAGTTATATTAAAATATATAAAGATGATTAGATAAATCTTTTGAAATGAAAGTAAAAAAAACTAAATCGTGAATCAACTGTTATAAAATAACATGACATGTCAAATAATTTTACGTATTTCCAGATATAATTTTTTATTAGATTAATAATTGAATTAATTACAATTAATTAAATAAAAATATTAACATTTTAAGAAAATGAATGATAGAAAATCAGACACTAAATATGAAAGACATTAAGTAATTCATTATGAATATTCAAATGAATAAATCATATATAATTTTTTAAAATATTAGTGGGTCCATCCCTCCACAGAAGTTACGCTTAGCGCTTCCCTTCCCTTTAGTGGATGGAATTTACCTTGCACCGTCTTAGACTCTTAGGATTTTTAAGAAAATATCTTGGCGGTTAGTTTTAAACATATAAGCATACATTAATCAACAAGTGGAAAATAAATATTATAAGAAGGAATGAAAGATGATAATGCATTTAAACTTTCCCCAAAGATTACTTGATATTTATTCCAACTCATACAACTTGCCAGAAAGCAAATGTTCCTTCTAACCCTCTTTCTTTTCATTTTTCTTATACCTTGTGTAGGTGAAATTACTTCAAAAAACACAATAATAGCTTCATTAATTAATTTATTATATCTCTACTGTCAAGCTAGTAAATTAACTGATGTAAATTTATTTTAATTTAATTATATTCTTGAATTTAAGTTCTTAAATTTAAAGTTATATACTTTTTTGTAGTTTTTACTCTTGGCAATTTATGAATATGATTCCATTTTATTATGATGAGAAGCATAAGTTTTGATCCAGGCAAGCAATTGTATCTTTTATAGCTCAAAAAAATGGATGTGAAAGACCTTTCTCAAAAGATAAGCTAAAAGTGACTATACTTTGCTTGTGTTGGGGATAACATGAATCATGGTATTAGTGTGAAATAAAAAACGGGGCCTCCCCATTTCACGTCATTTTTTTTGCCATGTCTTTCCATGATGCATCATGTGCTTTCTCCCAAATTGAACCTCCTCAACTTGCCTTGTCACTCCCACCCAAACAATATTAACATGAGCAAGGAGCATGTGTGATGCACATGCATATCAATTCATGTTCCATTAATAATAGGTCACCCAAACATTCCTTGTAGAAAAAGGAAAACCAAAAATAAATAAATAAAACTTAAACCAATTAAAAAACAATTTTAGTAACTTTAGTATTTAAGAATGAATTTTAATATTTAAACCTAACTTTAAAAATTGATACTAAAAATATAATAAAATATTTAAGAAATAAAAATAATTTTTTAAGTAATGCTATTAGGGATATACATTTGTTATAATTTTTAATATAATTTAATATCATTTATAGTGAATATTTTCATTTTAAATTTTTTTAAAATATATTAAAGATATTTATTAATAATACTTCCAAAAAAAAAAAAAAAAAGGAAAGTTCCTGAAAATAATGCCCCATGGTGAGAGAGAGACAAAAGAGAGAGAAGAAAACAAGGAAAGTTAACTAGATGGTAATAATTATCAGTTCAGAAACTACTGCACCTGCAGGTCCATCACCTAATTCTCTCTCTCCTTGGCCTCCATCCATAAGTACCCCCCATCCCTTCACACTTTCCATTCACCCTCAAACCAACACAACCCACCCCTCCATTCTTTCTCTCTCTCTATCTCTCTTCTGCAATGGCTGCCATTGTTCTGCTCCACATTGCATCATTGGCCTCTCTTTTTGCTGCAATAAGTGCTCGAATCCCTGGAGTTTACAACGGTGGCCCCTGGCAGAGTGCTCACGCCACTTTCTATGGTGGCAGTGATGCCTCTGGAACAATGGGTAACACACCCCCTTCACTTCATTCTTTAACTCTCCCCTGTTTTCCCCTGTTTTGTTCTGTTTTCTACTGCCTCTCTTACCCAAATCTTCTTTTCCTTCAACTTCATTACTACACTAACCAATTTGCATTACAATTATACACACTTAAAAACCATTTCCTGTTACCCAAATCTTCTTTACTTTCCACTTTGTCACTATACTCAACATTTTGCATTGAATTTCTACCATTTTATAAACATTTTCTGACTCTTTTTAGGCATCAAAATCTTCCTTTTTATGACCGATCTTCTTTTCCAAATGTGAACCCCAAAGTGTTCTTTTTTACTGGTCCAAACCCCCAAATCTAAAACTAGTAAAAATGTAATAAAACTAAAACTCTCAATTTTTTGACAATTTTTCTGAAATGCCCATGCAATCAACAAATAGATTGTTTGATATAAAATATGAATCTTTGTTGAATTAAAAATTTTGGGTGTTTGATTCAGGTGGTGCATGTGGGTACGGGAACTTATACAGCCAAGGATACGGGGTGAACACTGCAGCACTAAGCACAGCACTATTCAACAACGGTTTGAGCTGTGGTGCATGCTTTGAGTTAAAGTGTGACCAAGATCCACGTTGGTGCAACCCTGGGAACCCTTCGATCTTGATCACTGCCACAAATTTTTGTCCACCAAACTTTGCTCTTCCAAGTGACAATGGTGGGTGGTGCAACCCTCCTCGACCACACTTTGACCTCGCCATGCCAATGTTCCTCAAGATCGCTCAGTACCGAGCTGGAATTGTCCCCGTCGCTTACCGCCGGTGAGTCTCGCCACCCCTTTTTTTGCTTACCCTTTTCTTTTAATGGGTTGGCTTCAATTTGTCTCCTTTGCATGTGTTTTCACTGTTTGGATGCCAAGAAAATACGAGCCAAATATATTTTACAAGACATGGGTAACGTAGGTTTCTGATATTATTATTATTCTCCAGTCAAATTAGCAGTTTTATAAACGACGAATTGAGATGATGACAATTTTTGTTACTCTATTTTATTTTTATCTTTTCATAGTAAAACTATTAATTACACACCTTGTTATTAAAAAAAGGTTTTTTTTTTCTTCATAAAATTAAGTTTTATAAATGAATTAAAATATAACTGTAAATTTATTAAGTGTGTAGAAGAGATATTAATAAATAAATTATTAAAAAATAGTTTTTAATACTTTAAATAATAAAATGTATATATATTTATGAATCAGTGTGAATGTTATTACATGTGTTAAATAAACTTAAAATAAGTATTAAAATTTATGATATAATAAATATATTTTCACAGAAGTTCTTATTTTATACTTTTTTATCATATAATTGTGGGTACAACGTAGAAAACTTCTTTTTAGGTGTCCATTATTGTAGAGTTCTCCTGAAATTATGAATTTTCAATCTGAGGCACCGTACCACACACAAAACAGAACGGCAAATGTTGAAAAATCATGCCCATTTTTGTCGATGTTTCCTTCCCAGTAAGCTGATTTTCTTGGGAAACAAACAAAAACTACTATTAGAATCTCCTCAGCAGTTTTATCAGAATCCGCAGTCAGATGTTTTGTCGATTACACGCACATAGAAATCAACACAAAGAGCCATTAGTAATAAACTAGATCGCCTTCAAACATGGGGTAACGGTTGCAAATAATCAAATTATTGTAGTATCAGTAAAATTGGTTTGGCAAATAATCAATGCTTATTAAATTGGCTTGTATCAGTGTTCTAATTTTGAGTGAGGATTTTGATTTGATGAATATTTGTGTGATTAATGTGTTGTCAAATCTACAAGAAGCTTTTCTCTTTCGTTCTGTCCCTTTTGAGCCCTTTCGGTGTTTTGGCTTAGTGGCACATATGCTTTAGATTTGGTGGTTAAAACCAATTGTCGAAAATAACCTCAATTGTTACCAGTATTACTAACTGCCATAGGGTATTATAAGTCATTCGAATAGTGGATCTGCAAATTCTTCAATGCTTCAAGGGTATGAAAGTAAAATGAACCCCAAGAGAAAAAAATTCCCGGAAAATGAGGACTTAAAAGTCAGAAAAAAACATATTTCGCAGTTCCATGCCGACTTTGGGTCCCTTATCCCTAGAAAAAGGTACAAATTTTGGGTCTACGTAATTTATATGAAATTACCAAAAAGCTGCGTGTCCAACCTGGCATTTTTAACGGTCATCGATGTTTTGCCCTTTTCATGTCTATTAGCTTAATCAGCGCTTCATACAATTTCATCTTTGGTTCGTTTTAATTTGAATTTGTTTGCAGTAACTTTCAACTTGTCATTAACTTTAATAGCACACAGTTCAACTATTTTGTGAAATAATGATGTGTCATGCTTTTTGGTGCGGCAAAAATTTGCACATGTGATGATTATTAATGTTTTATCATTAAATGATTCAGATTTCGGACATTGAACAGAATATTTTACGTATGTTTAATGAATAAGAAGAACAAGGGTTCTAGAAAGAAAAATGAAGGTAAAGTTAAAATAATCAAGTTATTTTTATTTTATTGGGTTGCAGGGTGCCATGCAGAAAGACAGGAGGCATCAGATTCACAATCAACGGTTTTCGTTACTTCAACCTGGTGCTGATCACCAACGTCGCGGGTGCAGGAGATATCGTGCGCGTGAGTGTGAAAGGAAGCAAAACTGCGTGGATGAGCATGAGCCGCAACTGGGGGCAAAATTGGCAATCCAACGCCGTTTTGGTGGGCCAGGCTCTCTCCTTTAGGGTCACCGGCAGTGACCGACGCACCTCAACCTCATGGAACGTGGCACCACCTAATTGGCAGTTCGGACAAACCTTCGTGGGAAAGAATTTCCGTGTCTAAACCAAAAGGGAAAAATTTGATACTCTTCTTATTTTGAGTTGTTTGCTTTAGTTTCCCTCCTTCCAATTTTTTTTCTATTTTCCTGAGAAAGTTTGGAAGTGGGTAGTGGTAGGGTTAAAAGAAGGGTAGTTTTAGGAAAAGTATAAGTTAAAAGTTTATTTATATAATTAATATAAATGCAAGTGGGGGTATTTGCATTAAATGTTAAAAAGTGTTTAATGTAATGGGCAATGTTGGTATATTAATTACCCAGCATTAGCAACCCTTTTTTCTTTTTGCTGTTTTTAATTCAAAGTGTGAAGGGGCTGAAGAGGTTGCAAGGACGAACATGTAGCCCGCAGCTCTGGCTTTATAATCGCCATAAATGTACTGTCATATAAAATATCAATAAAAACATATATTAGTTGTTATAATATCATGCTGCTTTAAATTGGCTTGAGATTTTTTTTTTTGGTTCAATAGAATGTTAGAAATTTGAATCTATGTTCTCATTCAATGAGATCCCATTCTAGTGGCTCAAATGGCTTGAGTTATTATGAAGGTAACGTGTTTTTCTTTTCTTTCTGAGTTTGATCATTTGATTTAGTTTAATGAACTTCCATGTTCTAATATAAACAATTTTTAAAAAATACAACACAAGGTTGATTTATAAGGCTTCTTTAGTTTATACTTTGAATAACAAACGGTTTAAATTGTGATAAAATCAGATAAATTTTGCATTAAAAATACAGTCAGTTGACAGTTTGATTAATTTAATCTCTACTGTCGATTAACTAAAAAGTGTAACGGAATTCTTAAAACAATGACTATAAAGTACACGCAAAATTGCAGTAGATTGAGATGGGTATATATCATTATGTCAAAGTGAATAGAATATTATATTGGTCTACAAAAGGTCTTGAGCTCTCAATACGATTTTTCGTTATACTTTGTTGAGTTGGGTCTAATTTGAGTAAATTTTTCATAAATATTTATAAAATAAAATAGTAAGAACAAATATTTTTAAAAACTAAAACTAAACTAGTTTTATGAGAAGTTAAATTAATAAACCTTTTAAAAAATAAGTAGGTAGTTAATTTTAACTTTTAAAAAATAATTTATTTATCTATTGCTTTTATAATTATTTATTATTTTTTTAAAAAATTATGTCATTATTTATCCAAAACATAAAACCTTTGGTCTTGTAAGTTATAATATATAAGTGATGCTTAGGAAGACTTTAATAATCTCTTGTGTATGGCTATCACTCAAATAAATAGGCTATATATCCCGTATGGGATAATGCTTTGTGAAGCATAGAATGAATTTTATGAAATCAAGTAACGAGTAATATTTAAAGAGTAATAGTTTTCTTTAAAATAAACCTTAGAACTTTTCCATCACTTTTTTGAAATTAAACTTATTATATTTATATATATATATATATATATATATATGCCACTTTATTTGTTAGATAAATAATTAGTATTTTCATTAACTTTTTATTTTTTATTACTCTATACTTTACTCATGATTTACATTTAAAAGAGTATTTATATGAGAAACTAAGAAAAAAAATGCATTGTGAAGAGAAGTCACACTCTTCCCTTCCTCACCATAAGGAACCATAGTTTTTATTTATTATGCAAAAAATTACTTATAATAGCACCTAAAAAATTTTATACTAAGAGCTTATATAAAGATTAATTTTTCATAGTTGATTAAATTTTTTTCACACATATAATACAAAATTTTACTTTTGTTAAAATTACATCATTAATTCAACATAAGATAAATTTTTTAATTACTTCCTCGTTCATCTTCACAAAAATTCTATACTTTTATATATCTTTCCTTCAATGAATTCTCTTAATAGTTAGCATGAACTATAAAAAATATTTATTTATACAAACTAAATTAATTTTATTAGACTTGTTTAAATAATCGCACCTTAAATAATTAATCTAGTATATATAGCTTTGATGTAAGGTCTTTATTTATAATATATGTTCATAGATATACAAAACAAATTTTCTCAACAATAAGACTTTATCTTAATCTCTATGTTGCTACTTGACACTCTTATAGTTTAGTATCTAGTAAATATAGTAATTTTATATTTTATAATTATGTATTCTTTCTTATAAAATTCAATAACTCACTATGACTAGAGATACATGGATTCATTTCAATGTCTCTCAGTTTCTCTTTTTTTTTACATGATATTAGAACTTGGCGAGAGGTAATTCTAATCTTTTTTCAATGGATTCATTGTTCACTGTTGCTAAATTTTTTTCTTCTAGAAATCATGTTTCATCTCCGGTAGTTGGTATTTCATCATGTTGTGTCCTTTTCTGACATTGTCCCCATCATCTGTTACTATTCTGAGACCGCCACCACTGTCTGACATCTGATCACTACAGTGACCTCACCACTGTACTCGCCTTTGTTACACTCTTTTAGTTCTAAAGCTCTGATACCCCTAAAGTTGTGACACCTAAAATCACTGAAACTCAAGTACAACTGGATTATGATAACCCTAAACTCTACTCTAAGACAAGATTTAGGTGTAAGAATAACTTTCGTGGAAGTACTCATACTTAGGTAGGGGAAAAATGAAAACCTGAGTAACATCCATATATATATATACACACATACGTGTGTGTGTGTGCGCGCGAGCACCATTGTGAAGGAACCTTCCTCAATTTCTCTCATAAGCATTTATTGACACTTTCAAGAGGCTACTCCTCCTCTACTCATCTTAATATTGTTTATATCAATTCAACATCAATCTCAATCAAAATAAGTAGGAACAATTAGTCATTATTCATATCAAAGAAGTAAAATAAACAAAGTCATTGTCACATGAATTAGAAAACTAAAATCCAGGAACATAGACGTGAGCAGTGTCAACCCATAACTATACAAGCAAGTTTATACATAAAATTCTAAGGGAAGGGAATCCTCGCAAAGGGTCAGATTCCATCCCATCTAAAGAACATAAGTCGTTCATTGGCTAGGGTTGGGGAGAAGGTGGTAGGTTGTCATCATCATTATCAATCCATCTGATAGTATGGGGTGGTGATCATGATGTGGATGGTGGTGGTGGTGAGAGTGTAATGCCTCAGATTTTTGTAATAATATTTTGATATATTAATATAAGTGTATATATAGATTTTCATATGTTATATGTTTGATTTATGTATATGATGATATGTATATGTGTGTAATGACGTGGACATGTATGAATGTGTAAATATAATTGTGAGAAATTCGTATAGTGTGGTTGGAATGTAATGCTTGATTTGTGTTTGGGCGGGACTGATTGTGATAGTCTAAGTGTGTAGTGCAGGGGTATTCTCGCTACAGTAAGAGAAGTCTCGCTGTAGCGAGAGGGCCCTGAGAGTAAGGCGCGAGACTGTCGCCCTCTCGCTGCAGCGAGAGGGCGGCAGTGAGGGGTGCATTTCTGGGTGCAGTCTCGCTGTAACGAGATGGTCTCACTGTAGCGAGATTCTGCAGAAATTAGAGTACAATTTCCTCTGAGTTTTTTGCTGTAGTGAGAGTGTTACGACCCGAGAGGTATTTGAAGGGTTTAGGATTTGAAAAATTCATTTTTTTCACTTTCCTTTCGAGATCTCTCTCTATTCTCTCGATTCTCAGCCTATTCTTACCGATTAAACAGCCTTCAATGTCGTTTGGAAGCTATATTGAAGGTTCTAATCACGTTTCAGGCTTTTGGAAGATGAAATCTATGTGGGGGACACTTCCACTCATTGATTACATTGTTGGTCTACAATTTGAGGTAAGGGAGAACTCTACCCTATCTCATTTTTGCTAGAGATTCGTTTATTTTGCTACGTGTGGCAACGTGATTGAAATAGGATGTAGAAACATGAGTGTTGATGAATATTTTGTACTTGATATGATGTATTCCATGTTAGTGAATATTGGGTTTAATTGGGTGGTTTGATTGTGGTAGGATTCATATGAAAATCTGATGTTTGTGTGTAATATGATTGAGAATGTGGGAGAAATGTGTGTAGATGTACCATTGATTGATGCCGTATAAATGAGATGATGGAAAGTGTGTGTGATGCCATGTTAAATGTAAATGTGGTTGTGTTTGAATATGTTGAAATGTTGTAAATGGTTCAGTGATACACTAGAAATGTGGAAGATAGGGGCGATAGAAATACCTTGGGGAAGAGAGGGTGGTGGTGACACTAACAGTGAGTGTGGGGTGCATCACAGGCTATACACTCTCCTCCTGACTCGGCCTCTGACTAACACTTTTGCTTGGGAGCTCAATACCGTACACATTGTATCTGTGGAGTGGGAGTTATCCGGCAACCATCCATAGTATAAACCAAGTAAGTACCTAAGGTTAAGGGCATCAGGAATCTATGATCACAGTGCTACAGTGAGCGTGGCTACGTGCAGTGAGCGCACGTATGTGTATAGATTGTATGATGGTGCAGTAAGCGCACTTGTATATGGATCAGTATGGAATGTTGAAATGTGATGAATGTGTAAATTGATGCATAAGTTGAATCTGGTAGTAAATATGTAGGACATGCGAAGATGAGTCTCTGTGCTTGTATATTATAGTGTAGCGTACTCACCCTTATAATTTTTTTTTAGATGACCAAGACGATCAATACCAGACTCGGTGAAGGGATGGATGAGACTGCTATAGGACTAAAAATTTGTTATTGAGAACTTTGATGTAATTAAACTAGTTCTGTAGCAATAATTTGATGCAAATTGTAAACTATCTTTATTTTGAAATATTTTAATGAACTATGTCTAGGAAACCATTTGAATGAAAATTTTATTTCTCCCATTTTGCGAAGCTTAATTATTTAAAAAATAAATTAAGGTGTTACAGAGGGGCATCATTCAAAAGGTCTAGCTTCATCTAAAGGGAGAACAGGAACCTTAAAGAATAGCGGGGTACATGACTCATAAGGGCTTTACCTTTTATCAAGGTTCTTGGCAGGTTCAAGGGGTAATGTTTAGCTTGGTGGTGTTGCTGAAGAAGTGAGAGGGGAAAGTATGGTGATGCATCTGTCGGGGTACAGAGATGTCGGCAAAAAGAAAGTCACTCCAATACGACTTTCAGCCATCATCGACGACGAGTCCCAGACTCAAGCTGATCATCCTGTGAAAAGCAAGTCGACAGATCAGGGGATCGTATATCCATGTCTCTTTCTTCCCATGATCCACTCTCTAAATTGCTGCTCATTAGGGGTCCATTTGTCATACAATCATACAACACACACAAAAGAAATCCAAGAGAAGAAGAAACAAAGCAATAGGATGAGTCTATCACAGAGAAAAATCAATCATCAGTAGAAATGAAAGTAAACACAAGAAAGAAGTTAAGGAGAAACTTTTATTCCAAGAGTCGCACATCAAGATATCACAC